GAGATAAAGGATAGGATAGTGTATAATTAAAGAAAGATTCTGCAAGAGTACATAAGATAGTATTGTAGTATTTGCATTTGAAATAGTCTATTGGAATATTATAAGATTTAACAAAATATTAAAATATTAAAATGTTTAATAATGATAGATTTCAATATTTAGTAAAATATTAAAGAGAATGTGTAAAATGATTAATGCTTAGTTATAGTTTAATTCGTTATTGTCTTAATGTTATTATAAATTTACTATTTCATTTTCTTATTTTAAAATAATGTATTAATTAGAATTAGAAGTAGAATGGAAATTATATACTTAACTATATTATAAGTTTATTATTCTTTTATTTTAAAATGCAAAATGTAGAATGTACTAAGCAGAATCAGGATGGAAATTATGTATTATTTTAAGTGTTACTTTAGGGGAAAGATAGAAAGGCGTCACACTTTAAAAGTGATTACAGGGGAAATTCTTTGCTAAAGAGAAGAGATAAATAGATGATTGGAAAAGAACGGACAAAAGATACAAACATAATGATTTTGAAATAAGATGAAATAAACAAAAAATAATTAAGAGAGTGAAAAGAAGGGAGAAGTTTTTTTTTTTTTTTTGAAACAAATTTTATTAATTTTTAAAGACAAACAAAACATAAACCTTGTAGACATTAAACCTCTTTCCCTTGTAAATTTTTACAAGGCAGATAATACATTATTTTATACAGTGTGATTTTAATATATCCCATTTCTACTTAAATATCTTTTAACACTCTCATTTCTTCTCTTTAAATTTAGTCATCCTATTCATATTTCCCTCTGTCTTGTTTGCAATTATTCTCCTCCCGCTTTCCTCCAAGGTTTTATTAAATCTCAGATAAACATACACACACAAAACACATAAAGTAAAACTTCTTTTTCAAAAAAGTAGCTTGGCCCCGGATTACCTCTCTTTGTATGGACTTCAATTAAATTCATATTCATCTAATATGCCATTACCTATCTTAATTGCCATTCTGTGTCTTCTTTATAACTTCTCCCCGCTTTCCACTCTTCTTAATTCTATTTTGTTTATTATCTTAATTTAAATCATTATATTTCTATCCTTTGTCCATTCTTTTCCAATTGTCTATTTATCTCATTCCCCATAATAAAATAAAAGAATTTCTCCTGAAATCACAAATCAAAGTATGATGCCTTTCCATCGCACCTCTAAATTAACATTTAAGGTAACACCAAGTTCCCTATCTGATTCTGCTTAGTACATACTACTTACAAAAAGAAAATAGTAAATCCATAACATAATTAAATATATAATTAAACATTAAATCTCATAACATTCCAATTATCTATTTCAAAAACAAATATTACAATAATATATTCATACTAACAGCCACACAATAGTCAATTAAAATCTATATTTAAACTAAGTATTTTAAACTTTCCTTTTAATATTTTATTAAATCTTAAATTCTACCATTATTAAACCTTTAATATTTTAGTCTTTACTCAAGTCTTATAAAATTATAATTTTCTATCTCTAATACAAATACTACAATACTATCTTATGTACCTTGCAGAATCCTTTTAAAACAAAATTATATTACCCTTTGTCCCTAAAAAACAATTTCTTTTTCGCATCTTGTTTCATACCCTTGTGGCCTTTTCCCCCCTTCTTCCTCCCTGTCTTATCCCATCTGGTCTTTTTACCCCCCTTAACTTCCCCTCTCTGTTGTATTTCTCTTTCCATTTGCTTTCTAGCCTTGTATTGATTTTGCATCTTATTTTTCACTTTCTTAGATATTTTTTTAAGTCTTATATCCTTTTTTTCCCCTCTCTTTCTCCTTCCTTTCTTAATCAACTCTGTGGGTTCGTTAAAGATGGCTTCTTCTTCTTCTTCTTCTTCTTCTTCTTCTTCTTCTTCTTCTTCTTCTTCTTCTTCTTCTTCTTCTTCTTCTTCTTCTTCCATCAATTGTTGTATTTGCTGATAAGTAGCAAGTGCCATTTCTAAAAAGCAAAAAATTTCTCCCACATCGTCTTTCTTTATTTTGCCATATTCCTCTCTCAGTTCATCAGCAGATAAAGTCATTGTAAATCCTCTCTTTTTTTTTCTTCTTCTTCTTAAAACAGCCAAAGATATTTCCAAGCTTAAAACAATTCCCAAAGTCCCAAAGTCATCAAACAATCCAAACAAGGCACAAAGTTCTTCCCTTCTTCCTGGGTAATATCAGTTGCAAAGGGAGAAAAAAAAGCCAATCTGTATTTTAAATTCTTATTACAGTAACTTCCAATCTCCAAAATCTTCCAGGCATCTCCTTCAACAAAATCTTAATATAAATTTTCTTTTTGTCCTCTCCCTTCCCATTTATAACAAGAAGCTTTAAATTTTTACCTTTTGTAAAATAGTAGGATTTTCAGTATTCATTTGTTAATTCCATGTGGAAGGAGAGTAAACTTTCACTTTAAACACTTTCACTCGCCGCTTGCGAATCTCTTCTGGAAACAAAGTATCTTTCAAAAAAAAAAACCAAATCTTAGATTTCAGGGTATTAAATGTATCTTCTAGTCCCAGTTCAGCCCAAAAAACTTTCGCTTCAAAACTTTCTCCTTCTTCCTCCAGCACGATCTTGTCCGGCTGCTGGCTTCTTTGTGGCGGCCATTGCTGACCGCCGCTGTACCGACTTGAGAAAAGGAGGTGGGGAAGGGGTCTGCGAACACCCCAACCCCCTGTCCGGATCCTCCCTGTCTTCGGTTGCCTCTACGGGGCAACCTTATCCTCCAGACCCGTCTGGGTCGGAGGAACCAAGAACGGCTAGCGCGGCGGGGATCGCAGAGATCGCGAAACCCCGCCGCCTCCGAAGCCTGGCGAAACCGGAAGTCAAAAGAAGGGAGAAGTTATATAGAAAATATAGAATGGTTAATAAGATATGAATGGTATATAAGGTGAGCATGAATTTGATTTAGGTCTGTAAAAAAAAGATGTAACCCGGGGCTAAGCCACTTTTCAAAAGAAGTTTTATGTTTTGTGTTTTGGTTAGCTATGTTTTGATTGTGAATTAATAAAACCTTGGAGGAATAAAACTAAAGGGAGAGAAATTTGGAAAAGACATGTATAAATGATAATTAAGGAGGTTTTATCTTTTTATGTTTTGTTTTATGTTTTGTATTTTGTGTGTTTATGCTTGATTGAGAATTAATAAAACCTTGATAGAAAGAAATATAATTGAATAAAAGTGAAGGGAGAAACAATGAGAAATTTGGAAAAGATATATATGTGCTTAAATGGAAATGTGATAATGTGGAACTATGCCTTAAAAAATAATGTTTTATTTGCCTTGTTAAAACTTATAAGTAATGTTTAGAAAGGAGGTTTTATACTTTTATGTTCTATGTTTTGTTTGTCTTCAAAAAATCAATAAAACTTGTTTTTTTCAAAAAAAGAAATGTATAATATTAGTATATGCACAAGATATACAGGTATGTACCCAAACGACACACTGTAAAACTGAAATATGGTTTTATTGTTTTTGTTGTAATTTTTTTTTAAAAAATAAAAAAAGTAAATATGAGTCCGTTGTCAGGCATCTGAATTTTGATCATGTTACCCTGGGGATGCTACAACAGTCGTGAGTGTGAAAAATGGTCCTAAGTTACTTTTGGCCAGTGGTGTTGCAACTTGGAATGTCACTAAATGAACTGTTGTAAGTCAGGGACCACCTCTATTGTCAGGTTCAAGTAGTCCTTGACTTAACGACTGCACAAAGTTACAACAGCACTGAAAAAAGTGACTTAGGACCATTTTTCACACTTATGACTGTTTTTCACACTTATCATCATTGCAGCATCCCCATGGTCACATGATCAAAATTCAGACACTTGGCAACTGGCTCACATTTACAACGGTTGCAACGTCCCCGGGTTACACATCCCTTTTTGTGAACTTTTGATAAGTAAAATCAGTTGGGAGGGAAATCATCACTTAACTGTGTTACTAACTTAATGTGATGAGCTGGGGCACACAGAGACAAATCAGGCAGCTGGCAGTTCAAACCGCCCCTTTATTGCTCCAAATTTCCCCAAACCTCCCACGTTTCTGGCCAGTCCCAGAGCAAAGTGATGTCAAAAACCCCACACACACCTACAGCAGCCTCTGGCTGCAAATAGTCCAGCCCAGCGCTGTGAACACCAAGGCTGTACAACAATAAATCCAGCAGGGCAAATCAAGGAGTTCAGGAAGCAAAGGATCCAGGTAATTAAGCCAGAAAGCCGGAAAGAATGCAAGGACTTTTGGGAAGTTCAAACGTCGGCATTCAACACTTCAGGAATTCAGCATTTGTTCCCGACAAGTGCCCCTCCCCACAGCGTCTCCTTAAGTCTCATTCCCCAGGTGTGCCTTCTGAAGGGGCTCAGTCTGTGCTCTTCCCGCCTTCTCTCCACTCTCAAGAATCAAGAGGGGGGGTGGTCCTTGCTCATCATCTGAGCTCTGTCATGTTCACTCCTTAGCTTCTCTTGGTCATCCTGCCCCCATTCCTCCCTGCCTACAAGCTGTCCCAATACTGAAAGGCCCTGGCTCCTCCCCATTCTCCCCCTGCCCCCCCAAGCCAACAAAACCGCCCCCTCAATCTCTGTAGGCTCAGGTTCCAGCTCATTTTCCCCGTAGATTCCTACAGGGGCAGAACACTTAACTGCAGCAATTCACTTAACAGCCGTGGCAAGAAGAGTTGTAAAATGGGGCAAAACTCGCTTAGCAACAGAAATTTTGGGCTCCGTCCGTCGAGGACTACTTAAATGATAAACATCCTCGATCAATTTTTTCAGAAACCTTGGAGAGTCAAAAACGTCCAAAAATGTGGAAAGGTCATAGGGACAGAGATTGGCAAAGCCCTCCCATTTTTCACATTTGAAAGAAGAAAAAAAACTTTTCTGCAGTTTTTAAAAGCTGCTTATTTTATTTTTATTTTTTAGAAAAAATACCTCTTTCATTAACCTGTTTCCTCCTTCTCTTCACAGGGCCCGGGCCCGAGCGACCTCATGGTATTCCCCTTACTAAAAACGAAACAAAAAAAGTGTTTTTTTAGGAAGGAGGGAAAAAAAAGAAAAAAAAATGAAGATTGTTACCATGATGGGGAAAAAAAGATATATATTATATATACTGTATATACTGTTGGTGGGAGGAGGATGTTTCGTACACTGCAGAGAAAGAGCGTTGACATATACTGGAGGGAGGGAAGAGAGAAAGAAAGAAAAAATATTTGTGGGGCAGCTGAGCTTGTTCAAACACCTGGTAGTATTGTCGAGAGTTTCCCTGTCCACCCTTCCTTCCCTTTTGCAGATTTTTTTGGGGGTGTGTGTGGATTCTTCCTCTGTGTTTTTACATGTGGGGGAGGAGAGAGCGCAGTGGCATCTCCATTCCCTCTGAAATCCTTTGATTCTTTTGTTTCTCTCCCGCTGCACCCTCTCTTCATTGTGTCTCTTCGTGTGTCTGTGCATTTATTTCCCTGCTTGGTTCCTGCTGCCTTTTTGTTGCTTCTTTTCTTCCTTCTTTACTACCTTCCTCCAACCCAGACTAGCCAGGAAGAAGCTGGCATTCGCATCTTCGTCAGTACCTTTTTTTCCAGACGTCCCTCGCCCGATCTATTATTTCTGCCTGGGACATCCTCAAATGCCCCGTCCCGTTCTGCCGCTGGAGGTTGCAAAATCCCTGCCGCTTACTTTCCATCACCCTTTTGCTCCAAGCTCAGAATTTTGTCCTGCACCCAAACACATCGTTCTTAAAAAAAACCTGATTCCTGTTTAAAAAATGGGTTTCTTCTTCCTTCCTTCCTGTCCCTGTCATACAGGTCGTAGGTGTTCCCACACCCCTCATTCTTCCTCCATATTTGTGTCTCTTCTTGGGGGTGGGGTGGTTATATGCCTTGTTTGAGTGTCTTTATCTTTACAGATTCATTTTTTAGCCTGAAGAAATACACTGAAACCTGACGCTGTAGAGAACCGGGGGTGGGGGTGGGAAAAAGACCACCCCGGAGAGTTTTTTTGGGGGGGGGGGCGGTGGCTGTTGGGAAAAGCCAGAATGACTTTAAAAAAAATAAAAAAAGGGGGAGAGGGAAAAAAGGGGGGGAATATTCCAGGTCGAATGGAGGGTAAAACAGGAAGAAGCAGAATGTTATAAGGGTGGGGAAAAAATAAAAATAAAATAAAAGATGTTTTTGGAAGAAACCAGCGTGGGGTGTGGCTTTTGTCAGCCGATGCCAAAAGGCGAGGGGTCTGGTCCTTAACGACAGTTTGCTTAGTGACCAGAGTTACAGCGATGCTGAAAAGAAGTGGCTTAATGACCGTTTTTCTCTTCAGTCTTCAAATGGTCACCAAGTGAACTGTTGTAAGTCGAGGACTGCCTCTATTGTCAGGTTCAAGTAGTTCTTGAATTAACAACAGCTCGTTTAACGACAGTTCGAAGTTACAATGGCACTGGGAAAAAACTATGCTGGCTGGAGAATTCTGGGAGTTGAAGTCCACAAGTGTTAAAAGTTGCCAAGTTTGGATACCTCTGCTCTGGAGGGCCCCTGCGGCCCACCCAAGAAACAGAGCAGGCCACCCACAAGTCCTTAAGAGAGTCAAGGCTGACAAAGGAACCTTGAACTTGGAACCAGGAATCTTTTCAGCCAAGAGCTCATCGCTCCCTTCCTTGCTCTTGGGGAGACCAACTTCTTTCTCACCCCCCAGGAAGAAATTCCCTCAAAAGGACACCCCAAAGAGTGCAAGGCCCGAATTAACAGTGATGGAGCACCCATAACTTCTGGTGGCAAACTGCTCCACGGGTTAATTGTTCTGTCAGGATATTTCTCCTTAGTACTAGGTTGCTTCTTTGATTAGTTTCCATCCATTGCTTATCCTTCCTTATGGTGGACCCCCTCTTCTTTGGGGCAGCCCCCCAAATACTGAAATACTATGTCACCCCCAAGTCCTTCCTTTCTCTAGACTAGCCATACCCAATTCCTACAACCGTTCTTTGTAAGTTTTAACCTCTAGTCCCCTAATCTTTATTGTTCTTCTCTGCACACTTTCCAGAGTCTTTTTTTTTCATATTTTAGCAACCAAAATTGGATGCAATATAATATAAAGTCCTTAACTGGCACTCCTCTAACAAACTCCAAAGCTCAGCCAGGGTTTTCCGCATGGATTATATATTTCCTTTTATTTAGCTTATTAACTGTTTTATTTCCCTTTTAAGATTACAAAGCAGTCCAAAAATTTTTGAGCCTACTAGGGGCTTGGGGGTGGGGAATGCATGTTTTAACTCCCAGGGGAGCAAAAGGGGTAGTGTTTGCACACACGTGACACGTGTGTGCGTCGGCCTGAGTGGTCCTTCCCTGGGTGTGATGCGGTGTCTACTTCAGCCATCTCGGTAGTAAAACCCACAATTCTGTTCCCCCCCCCCCAAATGATTAATAATTGAACATACAGGAAGTTCTCAATTTACCATAGTGGGTTTAGTGACCAAAGTTCCAACTAAGCCCTACTAAAAGTGATATTTTTCACACTTATGACCGTGGTGGCATCTCCATGGTTACAGTGATCAAAATTCAGACGCTTACTGACTCAGTTGTAGTTATGATGGTTGCAGTGTCGATGAGCGAAGTCAAGGGGGAAGCCAAATTCACTGTACAGCCGTGTTACCGACTGAGCCACTGTTTATTAGGGCATACATCAGAACCCTGACAGGGATTCACTTAACTGTGGTGAGAAAGGTTGAAAAATGGGGCAGAACTCACTGAACTCTCACTTAGCCGCAGACATTTGGGGCTCAATGTTCGTTAAGTCGAGGACTACTTGTATGTTCCAGATTTGGGGGTGGGGAACTGATCACTGAAGTCTTTGCATACAGTGGTCTGTTTCTCTTCACTGCGAGCTTAAATGAAGAATTTATCACTCAGATGTTTTTGCAGCCCAGATCAAACTTGCTGTCCTTCAAGAAAAGCAACGAAGAACATTGCTTGTCTGATCTAGCCATCGGTTTCTTTCGGGGAGGGAAGGAAAATCGTGCATTTGAAAATAAGTCTTAAGATTTGTCTTTGGGATTTGTTCACCTCTGGTCCAACGTCCCGAACGCGAGTCTTTTGCAAAGAGAACTGTGTCATGGACAATTACATTAAAAACAAGATGAATGCATAGGTCAAGCTCTTGGATCCTGTCTCAGACGTCTGTCCGCAGAACCCTGGGCCCTAATTCCCGTCTTACATCAGTAAAATGGAAATAAAAACAGAATGATCTCCCACCAAACCCAAATTGTTCCTCAAACTTTTTAAAATATCCGAGAGGGATTTTAAAAACCAGAGATTCATCCCGACCTCCTAGCTAAGCATTTCAACACACAGCCAGGGGTGGGATTCTACTGGTCCAGCCCAGTTCGCGCGAAGCACACGCTCAATGAACCAGTTGTTACACCAGTTGAATCGCACCCCTGCACACAGCCCTTCACCAAGGAACTCTTGACCCTGTATCCTTCAGTGCGTAAGCCCCAAAAAACTTGCTAAAAGCAGAAAGGGTATGAAAATTCTCTTCTGGGGAGAAAATTTTTCAGATTTTTCTCTTTCTCCTTGAAAGTCCGCAGAGAATCATCTGGCAGTTTCACTTGGCCTTAAATTTAAATTTTCAATTCGTCTCTGGAATAAAGGAGGTGTTGGGTACATCAAAAGTCTTCCTTGCTGCTTCCAAAGTCAGTGTTTCTTGACTGGAAGCACTTGGAAGATGTACAGACTTCAACTCCCAGAATTCCTTGGTCCTTTTTCAGAAAAAAAAATGGTGGACAATTGGCTCACTTCACAATCGCAATGGTTCACTTAATGACCGTGCATTCTCTAAACCACCGTGATGGTTCACTTAACCATGATTTGCTTAATGAGCACTGCAAAAATGTCATAAAATCAAGTCAGTCATGTGACAACTCATTTAACGACTGGCACAACTTACGACCGTAATTCCAGGCTCCATTATGGTTCCTAAGTCTAGGACTACCTTTTTTCTATTTTTGTTTGTTATTTAATTTCTGATATTTTCAAGGCAGGCTGTAGGATGCCCAAGAGCATATAATAACCATGTTTCCCAAAAAATAAGACCTGGTCTTTTTTTTTTTTTTTTGCCTCCAAAAGAGGCATTAGGTCTTATTTTCAGGGAAACATGGTATCAGTCCTAATGAAAAGGAATGAAAATTAACATAATTATGTTAATTATTAAGGAAGTGGAACAGCGGGGCGCTTAGCCCTCCGAGAGAGGCCAAGGCCAGCGTGATGCCGAGACCCTTCTCTGCAGAAGAAAATTTATTTGTTGGATTAGCAGGAGTCCAGTTTTCCGGTGGAAGAATGCAGGAAGGAGGAAGAGGAAGGAAAGAAAGAGGGAGGAAGGAAGGAGAAAGGACAAGTGATAGAAAGGAGAGAAGAGAAGAGGGGGGAGGGAAGGAAGGAAGGAAAAGATAAATAGGAAGGAAGGTAGGAAGAAGAAAGGAAAAGAGGAAATAAGGAAAAAAGGGCGGGAGGGAGGCAGGGAAGAAAAAAAGAAAGGCAGGCAGGAAGAGGGAGGAGGAAGGGAGGAAGGAGCAAGTACAGAGAAAGAAAGGCAGAATGGAAGAAAGGAAAAGATGGATGGACAGATGCATGTGTTCTGGCCCGACAGTGGCCAGCAGAGCTGGCAGCAGATTTGGACAGTGAGGAGGATGGGGAGGAACATGGGCCAGTCCTAGAGGCTGAGGAAGGCTCGGAGGAGTGCTCTGCGTCGGAGGCAGAGATGGGGCCAGGGCCACCTGACAGCTGCCTTTGGAGTCAGACATCAGTGAGGCAAAAGAACAGCTAGAACAGCTACAGCCTGTTCCCAGTGTGTGCATGTGCAGAGTTGCCAGAAGAAGGGAACAGCTGAGGAACAAGAGTCGACTTGGGAGTAAAGCCACAGGTGGACAGTGAATGGCCCCTCCCCTAGAGTTTAAAAGAGGAGCGAAAGCGGAGTGGGGCTTTGCAGGAAACAATTAGTTCATTCCAGCATGCTTTCCAAGTATTGTGGTGTCTGAAAGATATCAGCCTGTCCACTCTCCAAGCCTGATAAAGGTTTGTAATTGGGAACTATCGTGAAAGACTGTTGGGAGGGACTTTGTTGGAGAGGAAATTCATTGTAAGTCAAATAAAAGGGGTTTATTGGAATGAGGACTCTGCTTCATGCTGTTGAGGGAAGCCTAGGATGGGAGGAAGGAAGGAAGGAGAAAGAAAAGAAAAATAGTAAGGTTAGGAAGGAGAAACAAAAAGGGATGGATGGATGAATGGGTGGAAGGAGCAAAAGCTGTAATCACGACTAGACACTTGAAGGCAAAATGAGCGGACGGAAAGGTAAGAAAGGGTGTGAATTTACACTGGAGATTCCCTCCCCCCGCCTCCCCGAAAGCTGTTTTTCTGTCAGCATCCCCCCCAACCTCTCCGGGTTGGCAGCCCAGTGTGGTGGGGAGGGAGGGCAAGAGGGAATGCTCTTGTGCGAGGGGCAGGTGTGAGCACACAGCTTCATTTGTGAGAGCGGCGGGCACATGTGCCCACTGCTTACGTGTGTAGGGCTGCACGCCTGCCACTCCCGTGGACCAGTTTGTGAATAGGCCACAGCCTGGGAGTAGGCCATGGCCCACAGGTTGGGGAGTCCTGCTTTAACTATTTTTCTACCCCAGGACCCCTTCCCTGTTCTCTTGGGGGGCTTTTCCACCTGACCTGATCACAGTGGGGATGACTTCAGCAGCGAAGAAGATGCTGAGGGAGCCAGCTGCGTGGGAAGTGAAGAGTCCGAGAATGGAAAAAGTTCTTCGGGCTGCGTTGTTGAGATCTGCAATGGCAGACAAAACAGAAGGTGTGAAAATGACGAAAAAGGGAGAGAAGGGGAGATCGAACAGGCTGGGGCTGCTGGGAGTTGTAGTCCAACATCTGGACAGCCACATGTTCCCAAAACCAGGATAACACCTCCCAG